AACACCTAGGCTCCAGTATCCAACAAAATAAGCAAGCAATAAATTTTTACCATCTCCGTTACAGACATTTTCCAATCTCAAAGTATACAGTTGAGGCTTTCTCTCATTACTTACATATCCTTCATGCTCTTACGCAAATATTGAATATGTTTAATTCTTACAAAATAAAAAAAATCGAATACAAATCAACTTAATAATTGAAATGATATACATATTAGTAAACTCCTAAATAAGGACCTGCATATTCGAATTTATTTTTATTTTTATTCAAGACGACTTTAGCGCCATCTATTAGAGAAGCTCCGAATTAACCTGTGGCTACTGTATGCAGTTTTAGGAAGTTTTCTTTTATATTTTAGGCAATTATTACACATAAATGGCGATTTAGAATTTATTCCAAAATTTACTTCAATGAGCTTTTAAGAAAATTGACGCAATTAATTTAGATATTTTAAGTGACATTTGTTGCTTTAGTATATAGCCTATTCAAAGAAGAATTATTTTTATCATCGGGTAATTATTACTGGTATATTTTTAGCTTTATTTCATCGTAAAAATTACCATATTTTGGGAATTATTTTTAAACGATCCCTTATAGTTAGACACACCAAAAACCTTTATTGAACAGTAGTATATATCTATTATCGGCAGGAATTTTTTCACTTTTATCTTTGTTGTAGTTTCAGCTAAAAAGTCGTTGAAAGAGCGTTGTGTATGCCTATGTTAAATACATTGCCCACGCCCGCCCTTAGCTCTCTTTTCATGGTGGTTTGACAAATTTTATCGTTTATTGATAATGTGACATCATTACTGATTCGTTGAATCACTGTACTCATTAATAACTGTATTCGATTACCGAAATCTAATAAATGTTCATTTTTTTTAAGGGTAATTTCTAGTTAATTCTTGCACAAGGCAATCCAGATCTCTTCTGTTCGAAAAGCATTAAACAAGAGCATTTTTTAAATTATCCCAGGTTTGTAACTCTGTTCTGTTTCCTACATTTAATTCGGCTTTATCAATTAGTTTTTCTTGGATGCATTCAAAAATATGAGCATTTAATTGAACATTATTTAGATCAGCACAACTTTGAAAAAGTGCATCATCAGTGCATACTATTTTACTTTGACAGTGAATATTGACAGCTGTCAACTGTCAATTTTTCCAATCTGGTATGAGAATTGAATTCAGCGACCTCAAGAACTTAAACCCGAGAATACCGATCAAGGAGAAGCGACAGTAGCTGTCGGTGCCTTTGATATCGGATGGACCTTTTTCACAGCATGACTTTGATTGATACACAACTTAGCACGCTGAAAAAACATGCTTATTTTCTACACTGAGCGAAATAGTTTGGCAAATTATCTGAAATCATTGAGGTAGTCCATGCGCAAATGTTGTAATGCGATTTAATTACATTGAAGTAGTTAGGGTTAATAGCAATTAATAATCATAATATTTACTGTTCGTAGTCCTTTGGAAAAGTAAATAAACTTAATTCTTGGCCTGTTTTGGACGAACAAGAACGGTATGCACAAAAATATCCAGATCCAGACATTCTATTACAACATGAAGAAACACCAAAAATATCACTCAACAGCTCACAGACTAAACACAACTTTGACAGATTATATGATTTTGAGTGATACACAACTTAGTTTCGCACATGCGCGTATCAAAACGGTACACTGAAAACACCAAGCTCTCGCTTCTCCATGATCGGTATTCTCGGCTTAAACTCTCAATGTCAACAGAGAATATTTACTTCTCAATTCTTCGTTGACAGTGAATTGACAGCTGTCAACTGTCAATTTGTCCAATCTGACATGAGAATTGAATTCAGCGACCTCAGAAACCCAAACTATCAATGTGAAAAGAGGATATTTACTTTTATATTCCTCGTTGACAGTGAATTGACAGCTGTCAACGGTCAATTTGTTCAATCTGACATAAGGGGTGAAACCAGTGACCTCAAAAACATTACCCCATATATTAGAATAATTAAAATATGCTTTTGACATCTGTAAATAGTTTGGAAATCAATAGTTTTGCAACGGGTCAGGGGAGCATTGGCAGCTCCATAGCTGCCAAAATATTTATTTTGGCACTTTGTGCCCATGGAGACTTTTGTTTAAGATGACAAAATACACAACATATCAAAAATTCAGACAATTTAACAGAAACCCAATTTCCATAAGATTATTGCGGGGTCCTTTAGTCAAGATCTTATGATCAAATCAGTGATAAAATCATCAAACTCTTCATTTTTGGTGTCGATTTTTGTAAATTACTTTTAACTTGTTATATGTAAAGTAAACTACTCTCGTATGTGTCTATTTACTGCTTTCTGTACGCTCTCAATTTATTTTGTTTACGACCGTCGTGCGTATAGCCACAGCGGTAAAGTTTTCGTTCTGCGGGCAGCCTTTTGTTTTTTTTTTCAGATAGACCGTGGAAATTTCTTATCAAGCCGTTCTTTGTTATTTTTTATGTAAATGATGAAACCAATTCAAATGCATGAGGTGAACAACAAAAAACAAGTGCCTGGGGGCCAAATTGAGATCGTTGTTTGTTTGTTGTTGGTAGTGCGTGAGTAGGATTAAACAAGGTGGAAAACTCGTGATTTTTTTTACAGATAGGGTGGTTTCAGGCAAACAGATTGTTATTTTTATTAAAACAAAATTAACTTTTTTCTACAATCATAATTAAAAAAAGAGTAATATATAAGGATAGCTCCCTGTAAATAGTTGATACCAATTTTGTTTAGTCTCGACAGTAGCGCACTGATTATGCCAAATCACACTGCCAATACAGTCGGTAAAATAGGACGATTTAAAAAATGGCGAACTCCAAAATTTACGAAGTTTGGACCAATTTAAAGTCAAATTTTTCTATTTTTTATTTTTTACTTACAACTAAACAATCAATACATTTAATGAATAATCCTTGTATGGAAAATATCACCTATTTTAAATGTAAGACAAAAAATGTGTTTTATTACAATACCTATATCGTTAAATTCTGAGTTCCATTATCCTATTATCGGCCTGTTACAATTCTGAGTAATGACTCTAAAATGTTTGAAATACTTGTGCATACTTTCTTCTCATTTCAGTCGCGTCAAATCATTAGTCCGACCCAACATGGTTTTATTGCTGATCGTTCTACTGTAACTAATCTAATCTGTATAACTTGTGTATTTCTGAAGTTTTGGATGTCATTCACACTTGACGTCTCCAAAGCATTCGATATAATTGACCACAAACTTCTAATAATTAATTCAGCACTTGGATTTACACCTTTACATTAAGTGCATGGTATGGTTCAGTGCTTGGGACAAAAATCAATTAATTTCAACAAACATTCTGAGTTCCACAAAGTTCGGTTTTGGAACCTTTATAATGTTTGCTCCTTATTAACGATATTGTTTATAATTTGAACGTCTAAAATCTATTCTTTGTCGATTACCTAATTTTTTTTTGTAAAAAAGTACTTATAAACATGATACAATAAAAACAAAAGTATGTTACTTAGCCGACGAAACCACGTTGAGTTCGCGCATGACTCAGCTAATACGCTAAATTCATAAAAGCTACGCCTTCCACCACAATGCATTACCGTGACCTACTCAGCGGTTGAGTGCCAACTGAGTGCGTCTCCAAGTGGTGGATAGGGGAACGGGCAAGTTTTCCTTGGTTAGTGGTAGACATGAATAAAGTGCGAGAGCCTAAAAACCCTCAAAAATTTTTTGCGAAGGCTACCGCCGCAAATCAAGTCCCCCAATCTAAGGTATAAGGTAACGTGCCAACGAATGAATTGGCGCAGAGGCAGATGCGGTAGCAAACGCTCCCCTGAGGGAACCTGGCGACACCCTCTTGTATCTAGCCTTGCCGGTGCATGCGGGGCTCTGCGTCGGTCGGCCTTTTCTTTCCTAGCTACTCGTGGGAAGCATATGGACTTAAGTACACAAAAACAACCCAAAGAGGCTGGACGTCAACGCCCACCTCCAGCAAAAGAGACGACACGAAAGTCCAACTGTCAATTCTCTAGACAGCGACGCTAGTTCTGCCTCCACAAGAGGCCAGGAACACGACGCAACTAGGGACAAGAAAAGACCGCGATCTCACACCTCTTCCGGGGTAACGCTACGAGCCACCTTAAAGTAGTTATAATAGACAAGGATAACCCTTACGGTAAGATAACTACCAAAAGAAAAATCCTTGTCAAAAAGACACTGATGTAAGAGCTGGACAAAACAATCTTGTCCGCCTCCTACAGTAAAACCAAGCCACCCACATTTAGGTCTTGGTCACACTCTGGTGAAATCATCAGAGTAACCTGCAAGCACTCAAGAATGTGCCAGGCTCCAAAAAATTCTCTCAACAGACACACAACACACAATAAACACCCTGTAACACATCAACCTCGTCTTGCTCTGTTTTATGAGTGTAGATTTACAATTAATTAATAATATTGAAAGCTCAAGGTAGGCAACACATTTTTCACATCGTTTTGCGCGACCTTATCGCTATTTAGCCAGAGGGGGACCTAGCAAAAAGTTGTGCTTCGAGAAGGTCAGATAATTATTTTCTTGCGCGCTTTGACCGATCATTTTAGACTAGATTTTCAACAAGTTGTTTCTTGGTTTTAATAAGTAATTTTGTTGATAAGCAAGATTAATTTGTGCCTGCAATTTAGGTAGGTAAAACCTATTTTTACTATTTATTATAATCTTATAACTATAATATTAATATTAATATTACTATTGTTATTTTGTTGTTGCACTTATATTGCCACTTTTTTAGTAACTTTTTATAATCATTTTTTATATCGGTCAATGGCGTGGCTTATTTCTTTAGGAATTATTACATTTAGTTGAAATTCGAACTCTGGCTTTGGAATAAATACTTTGGGCTCCATACCGCTTTTTAATCAGTTTTTACCACAACCCTATTTGTGAGTTTCACTACATCTGGCGCTCAACGTATCAGGAGCTGATTATGGGGTTGGAAAGTACACCACCGACAGGGTACTTCCTAAGGTATAGAAAAAATCAAGGGGTGCATTCTGGACAACCACCGAAAACAAACCGACATCCAGGTGAACCAGTACTCCAGCACGAAGCGCCGTCTCAACTTCAGGACGTGGCAGGTAGCATTCTACACGCAGAAAAAGCAACAGGTATGACACAAAATTCTGCATTTCTTCCTGAAACGCCCACTAGAAACGTGGAGAGAACGATTCCTGTGAGTACTAGTGCTTTTATAAATTATAGTGAAAATAATTTGAACAATTTAACAATGAATGCTGATTATACTAGTGGAATACAGCATAACCTAGAATCTCGGCCCATTTTTACGTGGGCACATAATAATAATGATTATAACCTACCGAGGCAAATACCGCCATTTTCGAGAATAGATGATAATTTTAATTTAAACAACATGCGGCAATCGCTTCCTAATTTTTATTCTCATAGTCTTTTAAATGTACTACCACCTAATTTTAGTGAAAATGTAAATATGAATAATGGTTTAAATTCTCTTAATATGCAAAATCCTAATAATTTACGAAAACCTGATAATTTTCAAAGTGTAAATAATAATCGTAATTTTTGTAATTTAAATAATGCCACGTCATTTAATAATCAATGTGATACTACTCCTCAGGGAAGAAATGTAATTGATTTAAATCATGTAAAGGTTTTACCTACCTTCGATAATCGAGAAAAAATTCATCCTGTAGAATTTTTGGAAAATATTGAATTATATTTTAACGTAAATTCAATTTCTTTTAGACAGTTAAAATTTTATTTAAATACTTTAATGGAAAATTCGGCCAAAACGTGGTTTCAAGCTTACAGTCATATGTTTGGTTCTTATAATGATTTTAAAAATAGTTTTTTACAACAATACTGGGGTCCCACTCTGCAACTAAATATTAAATTAAAATTAGAGTCGGGAAGATACCAGGAGGAACATGGATCGTTTGTAGATTATTTTAATACTCAAGTGGCCAGTGCGAGGCACTTATACCCACCATATACTGAACAACAGTTAATTGCCATCATAGCGAGACATTTTCCTCCTAATATTTCAGCTACATTGGTGGGAACTGATTCTCTGTTAACATGTGTAGAACGTTTACGACAGGCCGATTACTATTTTAAAAATGATCAGAAAAAAAACCGATATTTTTTAAAAAATGATACATACCATTTTAAAACTGGTGTAAATTCGGGGGAAAACAAAAATAAAACTCACTTTGAGGATAATAAAAATTTTCCGAGAACTTTTCAAAAGAAAAATATAACTTGCTTAGAGGTTGCCGAAGATAACTTTTCGGAAAACGAGTAAGCCTCCCACGCCACCCGGTAAGCGTGGGAGCAGCAATACTTAATAAAAATACTAATTTTTTTTCTAATAATAACCCCAAAGATGATTTACTTAACGAATGTGATTTTGACCATACATGTTCAGATATTCGTTCCCCAATAATTTTAATTAAGCTGTATGGATTTCAATTTCCAGCCCTTATTGATACCGTACGGACTGGAAGCTCATAATAGAGCCAACAGGGAAGATTGGAGGATAGCCAAACAAGTGGTGAACTATGATAAACTGAAATGGGCAATTAGCTCATTCGAACCATATAAATCACCGGGCATGGACGGGATTTATCCAATAATGTTACAAAGAGGTCCTGATATATTATACAGCAGACTCTGTAACATACTCAGAAGTAGCCTGGCCTTTGGACACATACCAAAAGCTTGGAGAAATATTAGGGTAATTTTTATACCAAAACCTGGGAAAATGGGACAGGAAACGGCAAAGTCCCTAAGACCAATAAGTCTTATGTCCTTCGTACTTAAGACTTCTAGATAGGCATATTAGAGACGGGATATTGGTTCAAAGGCCAATATACCAAGACCAATATGCCTATAGTGCAGGGAAATCAACTGAAACAGCTCTCCATCAACTAATAAAAAGGATGGAGAACACACTGGAAAACAAGGAGGTAATGCTGGGAGCATTCTTGGATATTGAGGGTGCATTTGACAATACTTCCGTTGAATCGATCATTAGATCTCTCAAACACAGAGGAATCGAGGACACATGCGTGTCCTGGATCGACTCTATGTTAAGGGAGAGAACTATACACACAACCCTTATGGGAGAGACAACAGCGGCACGGGTAGCGAGAGGATGTCCACAGGGTGGAGTGCTGTCTCCACTCCTGTGGAACCTTGTAGTGGACGGGCTGCTTAGGGCTCTCAAAGATAAGGGACATAGAACCCTGGGATATGCCGATGATCTAGTGATCATGGCACAGGGAAAATACAACACTATAGTAAGAGATCGAATGCAAGAGGCTCTAAACATAGTAACAAAATGGACAGAGGCGGAAGGACTAAACATTAGGCCAAACAAATCTGACATAATTGCATTCACCCGCAGGAGGAAATTGGAGGGACTAGGGCCTCTAAACCTAAGAGGTGCAAGCATCCAGCTTAAGGGGGAGGTAAAATATCTCGGGGTTATGATTGACTCGAGACTTACCTGGAACCAGCATCTAGAAAGAACCACAAGGAGAGCGGAAACCTCATTAATGATGGCAAGGCGATCCTTTGGAAAAAAATGGGGGTTAAAACCAGACATGGTATATTGGATTTATACCATGGTGGTGAGATCCATAATAACATACGCAGCTTTGGTGTGGTGGCCAAAGACGCAGCAAAGGAAAGCAATAACGAGGCTCCGAATAACGGGGGCAATGAAAACAACCCCCACTGCCGTAATGGAAGCACTAATAGGACTCCCACCTGTTCACTATGTGATACAAGGGGAGGCAAGATTAGGTGCTTACAGATTAGGGAATACACTGGGAAATCTTGACATTAGGCCAGGTCACATGAGTATCTCAAGGTTAGTGACAGGAGACGTGCTAGACATGAGATCAGACCACTTAACCAAGAGGTACTCTTTTAATACTCCCTTTGAGGTTTTAATACAGGAAAGAGCGGATATCACCATAAGGGAGCCCAATGCCCAACGACAGAAACAAACCTGGTATACAGACGGGTCTAAGACTGCGGAAGGCACTGGGGCAGGAGTATTCTCCAAAAACCCTGATACTAACCATAGCTATGCTATAGGAATACATTCCTCGGTATTTCAGGCCGAGGTGTACGCAATTTTGCAATGTGCAAAAACGAACAATGAAAGAGCTGTCGAAAATCAGCCTATTCAAATAATGTCAGACAGCCAAGCGGCACTTAAGGCCATATCGAGTCAGAAAGTTACGTCGAGGCTGGTATGGGAATGCATCGAAGAACTAAGAACACTGGCAGACCGAAATAGAGTAAAACTATTTTGGGTGCCAGCTCACAAAGGGATCGAAGGCAACGAAAAGACTGACGAACTTGCAAAAAGAGCGTCAGAAGAAACACCGGAACCAGACACAAACCCAGGAGTACCAAAAAGTACAGTCCGGTGTTTTATAAATGACTGGATTCGGGAACAACATATCAACTATTGGGGAAGCACCCCAAAACAGGCACATGGAAAAGCCTTCATAGGCAGACCATGTCCCAAAAGAACTGGAGAACTACTCTTAATGAATAAGAACCAGTTGAAAGTGATAACAGGGTTCATGACTGGGCACGCCCCAGTAAAGGGACACTTGAACAAAATTGGCATGTACAATAGGGAACTCATGTGCCGACTATATCACAAGAAACCAGAAACGGCCAAACACATACTGTGCGAATGCGAAGCTCTAGATCGCAAAAGACAGGCTCTTTTTGGACGACCCCAGGTTGATCCAACAACGTATAGAACCCACTCACCCAAGGATCTGTACAAACTTGTACAAGGTACAAAGGTGATAGAGTGGGTGCTATGAACTAACATGGGGTAAAACACAATAAGCCAATAGGCTTCAGTGTTATTCGGAGACACATAGTCAGACGAGCCCAGGAGAGAAAAAAAAACCTGCAAGGATTACCTGACGTTGGAATGGCTAAAAACCAAGGTATTTACCTTAAAAACATGGGAAGGAGAAACACTTGCATTTGTTAGGATGGAAGAGCTCCCTAAGCTCACCAAAGCCTCTCTCTGGATCCCAGGGGAAGCGCAAGCTGACCTTGGAGAGAAAGAGGTTGTGCTCAAGCGACTTGAGGGGCAAAACCCAGACTTGCATGTGGCGAAATGGTGCTCCTTCCATCATGAAATCAAAAAAGACCCTAAGGGCCATCTCTTTGTCTTCGACATCGGAGACGAAGATGAAACCCTAAAGGCCAAATCAATGAGGATGAGCTATGCGTTCATCTCATTGATTATAAGGCCAAAGGTCAAAAAGGCAAATGCGGGACCCAATGAAGGACTCTCTTCCCTCCTATTTAGGCCAACAGTGAAGGACGTCGAGCCAGAAAAAATGGTAATCGATGGCCTCCAGTAAGAAAACTCCGAGAGACCACAAGAGACCACCAGCTCTTTACTTTCGAAAGAAGGGATGGTCGAATAAATAACCACCTTGCTGCACAATTTTCAACGATTATACAATGTAACTTGCCGCCTTGATGAGCTGAAAGATAGGTAGGTAGGTTTAATTTTTAGCTTTTCCAACAATCAACGTCATAGATTAATTTTTCGAAAACATTCGAATTGTAGGGAATATCCCTGCAAATGCAAATGCTTTCTCAGCAATATGAAGATTGGCAACTTTTGCATTTGTTGCGTGTTTCTGGTAATTTCTCTTTCTTGGTTGCTTACTATCACTTTATCATTCACCAGAGAAGACACTCTTCAGGTACTTCAATATGTCGTTGCTTCTGTTTAGGTGGTATTACCATAAAAGTAGCTTTGTTATAAGATTCAAGATACTGCCCGAAAATGTCTTCCAATTTTGTGAATGCTCTTAAATGGACATTTTTATAAAAAGTATTTTGTAAAGTCCAAGATCGAAATATATTCTAATATTTGCAGTGTATTAAATTGAATGCGTACGGCTTTGTCCTGTCATTCTGAATATGTTGATTCTCAATTAAGATGGAGTTCTATGGCTAATTAGTCTCATATTACAATCACATTATTAGTAACTCTGTCCTCTAAAACTACAAATATAATTATAGTTTTCACGTCTGTTCTGTGCTAAATACGTGATCGCCGCCACATATCGCAGGAAATTTATATTTTTTTACCAACATGGCATGATATTCATCTTTATTGCTCTGAACACGTTTATTTAAACTCGCTGTTACTTGTGACGCTCACTGGTTTTAGTTGGTTAGAAGACTTTATCAGATTCTAATGTATTTTAGGTATGGATTCACGTTTTAATCTCAAATTCACTGCTTTTGGACATTTATCATTTTACCTCTGTACCCTTCAAACGTATTTTTTACTAATATTATAAAATATTATACTTCAGAAGCCAACTTAAAGTTCATTTTTAGATTTATATTTGCTTTATGGTCACAATAAAAATGTTGATAAAAAAGTTGTGGTAAAAAAGAAATTTTCCACTGTAAATATAAATGAAAGATTCTTTTTCGAATCAATGCGAATACAAATATTTAAGATTCCTTTTATGTATAGGTACTCACGTGAGAATAGCATGCCATTATGAATAGGAATAATAACGACTTCAGATCGTGCCGAGTGATCTACATTACAAAAAATGTTAAATTAGTTTGACACAATTCCAATTTTCAACAGAAGTATAAAGTATAATAAGAATGAATGACTAGCGAAAAGTTTTTTCATTTTAGCTGCTATTGTAAATATGCAGGAAAACTTCAGCTCGTCTGCATTGCAGGGCAGGGCCGTTGTTGCCGCCAAAGAAATTCTAATAGGTGATAGCAATATTCTTTGTTTGTTGCTTGCTTAATTTTATTTACATAGCTAGAAGCTGTTAAGAAACTGTATGATAAGATGTTGGTAACGGGAAAAGAAGCACTCCAAGTTCTGAATAACTCTTTAATGTTGTAATACAGTACATTAGACATCGTGGTAAGTTGTAACTCACTAGCGATAAAAAGGCGGGCAGGTTCGAGTGACAGTTGACATATCGCCTCGTGTTCCACGACCCTGACCTTGCTGTCATGCGGACAACTAACAGTACACTAGAGTGGCAAAAGCCAACATAACAGAAACTACTGCTAAATATTCGAAATAATAGATAAATTCATATGTTCTACACATTCATTCTGTAGTATGTGCATCAAAAAAGGCTGTAATAAAACTATTTTTATAAAATTTGTTACTGGTGAGATTGCAATGTTCCAAATAATCCATAACCAAGCTAAGAAATTTTCTTTCAGAAATATTAACACATTATTTTACATCTCACA